TTCTATGACTTGCAAAACAACTATGTGAATATATTTTCATTTCTTAAACATCTTCCTTGATTGTTTTCAAATCTCTAGGATTCATGTCAATACATACGAACATATCATAGATGATTCACCATATGTATTATGATTCACCCAATTATGTTTGATCTCTAAATTTTTTACTCCTTTGAAAAATCTATCACAATATGACACTTATAGAAGCATATCATTGTTGATGTATCATTATTCCCATAGCGTAAATCCTTTTTAACTTCTTTCTTTTTCTTATTGTACATTTTCTTCTTTCAAAATCTCTAAATTATTAGCTATATTTTCTCCACATTCAACAAACAAAGTACTTTATACCTTTTAAATAATTCCAATGCATATTAAATTTTAATAATTAATTAAATATACAAAACTTCACTAATTCTACTAAGGCCCCGTTCACTTCACCTTATTATTTTTGCTGAATAGAAATTATTTTTACTGAATTGAAATTATTTTTGTTGAACTTAAATTATTTTCACTGAACTGAAATTATTTTTGCTGATTTGAAATTATTTTACTTAATATTATTTTTTTAAGGTGAAATGAATAAGACCTAAGTTGCAAATAGCAACGACAATCAATTACAAACGCAAATAAGTGCTTGAAGATACCGTTATACATTATTTAATATAAACAACTAAGAAAATAATAATTGTGGGAAAAATATCATCACACTTTTGGTAATGAATCAATCTAACGTTACTCTTAGAAATTAACAAATTTATAAGAATCAGTAAATACACAAATTGGAAAACTGAAGGCATTAAATTATAATAATTTTTGTATATAAAAATAAAACTGCTCTATAATTTTGTTTTTGGTTCTTCTTCTTATGCTCAATCCTCTCAAATTTCTCTCAAAGTTAAAGAAGATCATCTTATTAGGCTGACAAATCTCTCTAAATCAAAAGTAAGACATTTCTTATTTCTCCATTATTTTTGTTTTTTTTATACTACTTTTTAGCACAGCTTCCATATTATATAATTTATGAAATACCATCACCATAATTATTGTATTAGCCATGGGTTTTAATTATTGAAATAAGTTAATAAACGTGATACTTTGGAATTAAAAGGAAAAAATTGAATTTTGATGAGAAATTTTATAATACTCTTATTTTCTCTTTATTGATTTATTTTTTAATTAATTCTTTATATATGTTTTCGACTACATTTTCTTTTTATGTCTTCTTGACTTTTACGTGCAATCCATACTTTGTGGATGAATGTCAAATATCTTAATTGGAAAATAGTTGGAATTGGGAGGAACACATGAATTCAAATATCGTCTTCATATAAGACTTCGTCTCATGGCTTTCAATAAGAAAAAGAAAAGTAAAACCTAAAAAAAAAATGGCGCTTTATGTTATGTTTTGATTTTAAAGGTTTTTTTTTTTCTATAAAAAATTGACGAAATTATTGATATGTATAATTTGTTAAGAAAATTAAAGAAACCTTATTCTATCACATTTATTGAGAAATTTTATAATTAATGCCTACTTATTTAGTAGAAAAGACTATGACACACTACCCACATTAATTTAGTCAACAAGGGAGTGAGATAAATTATGTTTGACACAACATTTTATGTTTGGGAAATTCTACACGGTACTATTGTACTTTTGATTTTTCTTTGTGGTACACAATTTTTTATTTATTCCACATAATACCACTATAGTTTACCCCATAGTAAATTAGTGATACAAACGTTAATCAACCGTTTAATTGATTGTAAAGCCTATTTAACATTTGATTAACGTTTGTATTATTGTAGTATTTAAGGGTAAACTACAGTAGTATTATGTGGAATAAACAAATAAAAATTGTGTACCATAGAGAAAAGTCAAAAATATTGTAGTAGCATGTAGAATTTCCCTTTGTTTTCGCTCTAAATTTTTTTTCACCATTCTCCAATATTTACGAAGATTTGTTTTACACTAATCTATGAATTGCCTACCTTTCAATTGTTTTGCATAAACTTTGAAATTTGAAATAATCCTAAATTTTTTTGATAATATTAATTCATTAATTGAAACCTATACGACACCTACAAATACAATCTAAATTAACAATTACATAAAATTGAAATAAGAGTTTTCTTTTCCCTAAAAAAAGAGTTTGTAACAGAAATCGCATAACGAAAGCTAAATTAGCAGCATAATCTCTTACAAAGAAAACAAAATGGACTAATTTTTGCATTTCAAAATATTTTTTGCACTTTTTAATTGTAAAAATCAGTGAGATACAAGTGTAAATTAGAACAAAGAACCAAATTGCAATTGAGCCCGTACATGATTAGAGTCTAATTTAAGTAGATAAAATACAAAAACAGCTGGATAGATCCAATTGTTGCAAAAATTGAGGGTTTATTGTTAGTTGTAGTCAACAAGATGAACACAAATTGCAATATTAGGCCCTGTTCACTTCATCATAAAAAAATAATATTCATTAAAAATAATTTCAATTCAATAAAATTAATTTCAATTCAGTAAAAATAAGTTCAATTTAGTAAAAATAATTTCAGTTTAGTAAAAATCAGTAAACTTTAAGAAGAAATATAATAGAAAATCAGTAAAAATAAGTTCAGTTCAGCAAAAGTAATTTCAGTGTAGTAAAATTAATTTCAGTTCAGTAAAAATAATTTAAGTTCAGCAAAAATAATTTCAGTTCAGTAAAAATAATTTCAGTTCAGCAAAAAAAGGTGAAGTTAACTGGGCCTTATTGTATTTGTTTATGAAAATGTCCCAAAAGACACTGAGTTTCATTAATTAAAGCCACTCGACATCAACAATTGACAATTAATGATATAGAAAACATATTTAACAAAATAAAACAAGAATTTATTCAAAAAAAAAACAAGAATTAATCAGAAAAGGCTAAAAGCCTCATAATCTAAAGACATAGATATAACAATTCAATACATTATCAATTTGTTATCTCGTACAACTTTATAAGTGAATCCATCCTCGTTTTATAATTATTTATGATTACACCTTCGTGCATCATTGTCTTGTCAAAATTTCGATGGAATCAAAAACTTTTCAGTTCTCGCAAAGGTATAATGTCAAAGGTATCCATGTACTTGTACATAGTTAGCAAAAGAGTACATACAACAAAGTACAAGTTTTTTTTTTGAGGAACAAAGTACAAGTTTTTTAATACTCATTATTAAAATGGTTCCTACTCTTGCGTAATTTATTCAATTACCATGGTGGCGGCGTCCCGGTCAGGCGCCGGTTCCAGGGTGGTGGTCCGGCAATATTTTTTTTTTTTTTTTTTTTTTTTTTTTTTACATTTAACTTGCTTAAAATTCAAAATAAAAAATTTTCTCAGTTACCAACAAAAAAAAAACAAAATATTAAAAAAAAAAAAAAAAATTTCTCAATTTCCAACAAAAAAAAAACACAATATTACACCAAAAAAAGAAAACAAAAAATTATCAATTTCCAACAAAAAAAACATGATATTACACAAAAATAGAAAAAAAAATCTCAATTTCCAAAAAAAAAAAAATATTATACAAAAAAACAAAAAAAAATTAAAAAAAAATAACAAAACAACCACAACAAGGTGGTGGGGCGCCTGGCCAGGACGGCCGACGGCTGGTGGTGGCGCCAGGTCCGGCAGCCACGTCCACCGGCTTGGCGTCTGGGCAGGACGCCCAGCCACAGTGACTGGCGCCTGTCCCAAACGCCACTCACCGTGGCTGGGCGTCCTGCCCAGACGCCAGGCCGGTGGACGTGGCTGCCGGACCTGGCGCCACCACCACCTTGCCGCCACGAGCCACCACCACCTTGCTGCCACGAGCCAACCACCTTGCCGCCACGAGCCTCGACATCCCCGTACTTTGATTTTTATTGAGGTTGTGTTTTTTTTTAAGGTCAAGGGCAATATTGTAACTTCAATATAAGTTTGCGGGCTTTATGTGGAGATTTGCGGGCGATGTTTAGCAATCCACTTCTTATTGTGTAATTAAATAATTGCTCGATCATAAACAATTATTAAAATAATTTATGCTTCTCTTCTTGTGTAGGTAAAATTAATTGCTCGATCATACAGTACTCATGCCTAGCAATAACTGGTTTAATATTGGTATGCTACTCTCAAACATTTGGATTAAGCACTTGTTATTTAAATTTAGACTTTTAACCCTAATCATCTATGCAAATCCGAGGTTCGATTCATATATTGATAAAGATATTCATAATATTGGTCTTAAATCAATACTTAATCACCAAGATAAAGAATTAGAGGGCTCTAATTCTAATTCAAAGATACTCGTCGACAAGATAAATATAACTTCATCATTATTGTCACGGTCACAACCACAACCACCACCACCGCCACTAGTAGACTCATTACTATTTTGTCTATCATCATCGTCCATATCACTAGATACTTCACCATCGTCGTTGGCCTTAGTAGATCATGATATAATTGGCACCGAGAGTGGTTTTCATTCCATGTCAATAGATGATATGATAAATTACAAAAGGGTAACTCATAAGACAAGTAAAAGTGTTACTAAACGATACAAATCTCCGGTACCATCATTGCCTCCTCTTACATACATGCAAGATGGAATGGTAACTCGATTTCATAGAAAGTGTATCGATGGTAGATTAATCATAGAGGGTGAGAGCATTGATAATCATGCATCTAGTTGTTTCAAGACTTATAGACAGAATGGTCGATTGGTAAAATGCTTGATCTTACCTTCTAAAGCTTAAGTTTCAGACTCAATTGCAACAGTTATGACTAAATTTTATACTACTTTGGTTAATAAAAATATGTACTTTGAATTAATATGGTATTGTTATAATGATGTGTTGAGTTTTTAATCTTACAGCTAAATTATATGCAAAATAAGTTCCCATCTATGATAATAGCTGGTGAAGATTGGGTCATTGTGTGCTATATAAATGAGGAAAAATTTGCTAGATTCGAGTTAAATTACAAGTGTTCCAGCCAAAATTTATGTTATAACACTGAGATGCTGTAATTTACTTGCTATACATACATATTGATACATAAATACCGGTGAAAAGTTCCGGATATTACCTATGCAACAGCCCAAAGAACAATTGAGCATCGAAATCTAACCTATAACAAGGAATTTTTACAATGCTCGTTATTTACACAAGCACTAGTGTATTTACCCTATGGATAAATTCATTCGCCATCCATTTTCAAACCTTGAAATATGAAACTGCTGATGTTCAAATAATCAAAATTGATAAACAAACTAGCAGTAAGAAAACTCTGAAGGATCATGAAGATGGATCCTCATAGGTGGATGATTGAAGCCGATTTAAGAGTCTTTTTGGTGAACGCACGTTTTTTAGCGTCATTGTCAGCTTTTGTCGCTCTCCTTCAACCTCGGCAAAATCCAGGCTTAGTTGAGAGTATCGCTTATGCATATCTTTGAGTTCTGCCTCCATGGCACTGTATCTATCCTTCATCTCCAGCAAGTCTTTAATCAACTCATTTATGTCTCTGAAGCTATGGAATACTGCAGCTTCATCACTGTGTAGTTTCAAGAAAGAACTAGGCCAAAAAAGAAAGAGTATGGTAAACCTTTAGTTGCATTTTATAACCACAACAAATAGAAAGGGGAAAAAAAACATCTATCACCAAAAATATGTCCATGCAGCAGTACGTTTTCTAAGTACTGAAAGAGGCAAAATAACAAATGAAACGCCCACTGTCACAGGCAAATGCTTAAATAGTCAGTATGTGTGGAGCATTCTTGCACTGGGGCAAGAACAGCTAAAACAGCATGACAAGCTAACACAAAACCCAGAACTTGGAAGCACACGTGCACAACCAAGATTTAGTTAAGTGGTGAGTAAGACTTTTTTGTAAATAAAGGAGTTTTGATTAATTAACACGAGATCAACACAAAGGTGAAATCCTCTCTGCCTCAAGTGTTAACTGGGGGCACTTAGTGGGCACAACCGATATTTCGTTAAGTGGCTTGTGGCTAGTAGGAATTTCTCATGGGTGTAATGTTGAAAGAACTGAATTTTATTTAACACAAGCTCAAAACTAAGATTGAATCCTGCCTCAACTGTAATGAAAGCTGAAAACTAGGTGTGAATCTTGAATTATGAGTCAATTATGAGCTAAAGTATATTCACCTCTGAAATTGAATGGTTGACTTTTTCTTGGCCTGCAAGGCTTCAGCAAGTTCCAGCTCCAAAGCAAGTACTCGCTCCACTGAGTTCCCACTTCTTGAAGAATCATTATACAGAGAAGACATATCACTAAGTTCCTTAGTCACCTGTGGTGAAACATTGCAAAGTAGAAGAGCTAAGAACCAGATCAAGCTGATCACTTGCAGATTAGACTCAACTCTTACGGCCTTACCTTCTCCAGATGCATTTGCTCACTGCGTAATCCTTCATGACATTGTTCACCAGAGTTTTCATCCTCTAGAAGTGTATTTTCGCTTCTCATCCTTTCTAACTGCAAGCACATAACATATAAGTCAATAAGGTGTTGACAGAGCTTCCAAAGGATGAAGTGAGAATACATGATTACATGGTACGGGGAAAATAAAATCGCTATATGCTTTCTAGTTTGAACAGGATATGAAATGCAACTCACTAAGAGAAAAGACTAAGATCATTATTTGCAAATCTTTTGCTTTTATGTTATTCATAGCAAAGTGTGTATACCTCCTTCTGTAGGCGGTCCATGCTTGACATTAGATTTTGTGCTTTCAGCTGATCATCGTGAAGTATATCATCTTGATCCTTTGTTACCCCTGAAAGACCTTCTGAGGCTTTGGTTACCAAGGCATCCTGCATATATGGTAAAATTGGTTTACCTCAATATCAGAAAACAGAACATGTAATTTATTGGGTTTAACATAAAAAGAATATTGAGCATTAAACTCAAACACAATGTACACCTAAATTGATAGTGGTCAGCATATCTCATGCAAAACAAAAGCTCCAACAAATCGATATACATCCCAAGATAGAAATGAAAATGTTATTCTTCCCTCCATATCACCGTGACCAATCGAGTTGATTTGCATATTAGGAAAAGTTAAAAAGGACAAATAATAAATGGTTCAGGGAGCTGTGCATCAGCTGAATAGAGTGAAAATGAAGAATTAACAGTCCATTTGAAACTGATCAAACTAGAAATTAGGCTAGACAAAGTGGAACAATATGAAGAAAGGTTGAAGAGATGATGAAGAGGTCAATGTGAACTTTTTAATATCAGGCACCAACCTAGGACCTAAGTTGCACAGACACCCCAAGTAGGAGGCATGTCACCATATCAACACATATTGAAAACCAACACAACATTAACAGCAACAACAACAACAAAACTACATTAATATCTTATAAAAATTACTGAGAAGAAAATTTTGGAACAAGTATAGCTTTACAATGTCTCTCACAAGGGTATATAATACAACCACCAATTTTCTAAATTCTACCCACTTTCTATTTTCATCTATTTCATCGAGTTCTACACACTTTTACCTTATTGCCTCAATGGCAAATTGGAAACCTTTTTCATATTTTATCATCTCCTACCCACACCCCACCTTGTGGAATCCTACTACATAAAATAGAAACCCTTACTCTTTGTATCCTTTCCTTCTAAAAGTTTTAAGTACCCACATGAGAGGCCCCTCTATTGTGTTCTCCTTAGTTTCCATTGCTACAGCTTAATACTAAGTGAACTCAGAAAAATGGAGGTAATAGAAGTTTCTGCAAATTTTCCTGAATGTGCTGGTGCAAAGTAAGACAGATGAATGATAAAATAATGTTGTAGATAAAATTTGGTGTCCACTCCCAGTCACCTATCTCAACTCAATAATAAGTTTGGGAGGAACACAGGAACTTCATCATTTATATCATAGCCTTCTATTCATGAAATCAGTAATTAGCATAGATTATTATTAATTTGTGCTATGAAATTTGATATTTCATCAGATCTATGCTGGAAATTTACATCAGATACTCCAGGTGATTCTGCTCTTGCACTCAATAATTATTATTCCATATTCATACTAATTACTATTATCAATGGAGGAAAATAAATTTACATAGGGATGCAGAGCAGCTATAGTTGACATAAGCAAGATTCATTTTGTTTATAGAAGTGAACAGACAATCATCTGCCCCAGGTTAGTAGTGACATTGGAAGTCACATAACCCCAATAAAAGCTTGTCACCAAGCATAACAAAGTCATATAGCAACAGTAAGCAAGTTTGAGATTAATGTCAGAAATCAACATAAATAAAAAAAAACCTTACTTGGGGCAGATTATCTAATTATTAATACATCAGTAATTTCATACTAATAGTTCTACACTTTAAAAAGAAAAGAGAGACTAAGAATATACTCCATCTCTCCCAAAAGACCATAATAGTGTACCCATTTGTTTTTCATATTCTCCAAGACACCTTTGATTATAAATATCTTTAGTTACATGTTGGTAAAGTAATATTGACTCCTTTTTTTGGATGAAACACTTTGTTTCACACTTACCAATACATATCTCTAGTTATCAGTAAGTAAATTTATTGCAAAATTGATATTCGGAAAGTATATATTTTAACAGATTTAATGATAATGTTTTTCCTTCATGAAAATATCACCAAAAATAGAGATTGTATGGTGTGTGAATGGTGTAGATTTAGAAATGTTTCACCTATGAGGAGGGAAAAAAAAAGGAAGAAGTATGTGTTTGAAAATACACATTGAAACATATCTAACAAGATCACACATAGCAAAATTGATGAACTCTGACCTCAAAGAAGCACTGGGTACACCTCTTGTTTTACACTTGCCAATACATATCTCTAGTTATCAGTAAGTAAAAATCATAGCAAAATTGATTTTAGAAAGCTTTACGTCAGATTTAATAATTATGTTTTTCCTTTATGAAAAAATCACCAAAAATAGTGTATGGTGTGTGAATAGTGTAGATTTAAAAATGTATCGCCTAAAAGGGGAAGAAAAAAAAAAGGAGGAAGTATGTGTTTGAAAATACACATTGAAACATATCTAGAAAAATCACACAAAGCAAAATTGATGAACTTTGACCTCAAAAAAGCATTTGGATACACTATCAGGATGGAAGAAAAGTTTGCAAAATTGTGACTCATCAACCGATTACTTATATACTTAGAGCGAACATAAAGACAATTACCTGTACTGCTGGCGGATTCATATATTCCCTGTCACCCCTTTCAATTTTCTGTGGCACATTGTGAGATAAGTAGTTAGCCTGATCATCAAAGGAATTGTCCACTATTTTCTCAAAATTTGAACCCTTTTGCAGTGCATCACATCCATCCTCATTGTATTTGGGACTTGTCATGAATGCTTTAAGATTCTCTATCTGTTCTCTCAACAATTCAATTTCATCAGCAAGTCTAGTTTTTTCACCATTGGATTCCTGTAAAGATGCCATAAGCTGCTTTTTTTCTTCCATGCAGCAGTCTAGACTCATGACTGAGCAGTCTAACTCTGCCTTTAGCTGTTCATATTCCATAAACCTTTCACGATTATCCGAGAGCACTGATTGTAGCTCATCCTCTAACTCGTTAATCTTCAATAGTAGCTCTTCATTTCTTTTTAACTGAGACGCTTCACATTTCTTCCTATTCTCGAGCTCGTCAAGAGCATCCTGTAATTTCCAGAGCATCTCTTCACCATGCTTCTTCGAAATAGACAGTTGATGTCGAACTTCTTGTATCTTAGTTTCATACTGCTCCTTAATGAATGCTATTCTCAAGGATTCTTGCATAGAAGCAGAAGACCCTTCAGCTTCTTTCTTTTCGCGTGCTTGAAGATGCCCTGCTTCAGCTTTGTCTTTAAGCTCCTTAAGATGAATGGACAGGTTCTTGAACTCCTCTGTTTTCAAAATTTGCTCAGAAAGCTTACGGGTAAGATCAGAGCACTGTTTCTGCAGTACAGTCAGCTCTTCTCTACATTCTTCGTGAAATTTGCAATGAGCACTCATCTCCTCCACTAATGCTTTCATCACCAGAAACCTGATCTCAAGCTCTTCCTTTGAAATTATCAAAGTGTCATTCTCTATTTGAGAACTTCCAAGCAAGGATTTAAGCTCTTCAACTTCAAACTTGTGCTCTAATTTAGCATCTTCATACCTTGTCTCTAAATTATCACTCTTCTTCTTGTACTCTTCAAGTTCAGTCAATGTAACTGTGTTGATATGCTCAAGATCTTTGTTCAAGGAAACATAAGATTCTGACTCGGATCTAAAAATTTCAAGGGCTGACAGCAATCTAGTATTGTCTTCAGCAAATGTTTCTTTGCTAGCAAGGCAATTGTTAAGCTTGGAAGTGAGATCAAGATTTTGCTTGTTAACCTCTAAAAGAAGCTGATTTGAGTACTCCAGCTGCTGTAAGAGCGCTTCAACATGGACTTTATACTGCTCCTTAACAACGGTACATGTAATGTCAGCAGCAACTACAAGTGCATGCATATCCAGCAATTGAATTTCTGAATCAGCTGAGGATCCTGCTGCTGCCCTCTTTAGGTGCTCTTCCATATTGGAGAATTGATGGTAGAGACTTGATTTTTCTGACTCCATGTCTGATAGATGCCGCTTCAGTTGGCTAACTTCAGATTTCTGCTTATCAAGGTGGGACAACATTTCATCTCTCTCCTTCACCTGAGTATTCAAATTCAAAACATCTGCCTCGAGTTGATTTCTGAAGCCCTTTTGAAGAGAGACCTCATCCTGCAATATTTCCACAGTTCCTTTCAATTTATTAAGCTCCATTGTAAGAATGCCTAATTCATCAGTCTTATTATGTAGCAATTCAGTTAGGTGCATATTTTCTTGTGACAATCTATCTATAACCAATTTATCCCCCTCTAGCTCATCAGTAACACTTCCTAAATCCCTTATCTCTGCAGCAAGATCCCTATTTTTGGAAGTAAGTTCTTGCACAGCATCATCCAGTTTTGCAAAATCAGACAGAAGATCATCAGCCATCAGTGAATACTTTTCCTCTGCCTCTGAGCTAAGCTTGAGTTTGTCACCAACAACCTCAAGATCTGTTTGAAGCTTTTCCATGAGAGTGCTCGATGCATTTAATTTTTTAACCATGTCTGCTACATCACACTCAAACTTCTTCTTCACAATCTCAACTTCAGACGTTGCACTGGCTAAGGAGAATTTAACAGTATCACACTCATTCAGCAAATCTTCCTTCTCTTTTGTGAGTAGGAGAATTTTATCATGGAGCTTCCGCTGGCCTTCTTCCAACTGAAATATTATACTCACAAATTCTTCAAACTCTGAATTCTTATCCTCTATGTCACGGCAGGATACCAAACCATCAACCCGTTCATTGCCAGAAGCCAACAAATTCTCCAGTCTTTGACGAAGATAGTCGACTATACTCTGCAAATGCTCATTTATGCTAACTTTCCTCTTCATTCTCATCAGTTCTTCTTGCAATAACAATATTTCATTTGAAAGACTTCCCTTCTCTGCAGTAGCTTGCTCTAGTGAATATGCCAGGTTTTCCTTTTCAACATTACATTCTTCATAATTGCTTTTATAACTTTGGTAGTTGGTCAACAAAATCCCTAATTCACCAATTTTCTCATCAAGAACAAGCTTTTCGTTGGAAATGCTTTTCAGATCTGCTTCCAATCTATCATTCTCCAAAGCAAGGTCATTGCACCTTGAGATATAAAGATTTTTTTCCTCACTCAAATTACATACCTCACCTGTCATATTCTGCAATTGAACTTTAAGTGATTCATTGGCCCTGGATGAAAGTTCCAACTGCTTCGCAAATCCATACGTCTCTGTCTCTGCAAGTCTCCTCCCCAAATCTGCTTCTACTAAAGCTTCATGTAGCGTAACTGAGAACACGTCAAGATATACATTTGCAAGATGCATTTCAAAAAGTTCTTCCTGTATCTTCCCAAACAGCTCTTCCTGCGATGCTAGGGACCTCTTCAACTCCTCCAAGAGCCTATCACTTCCCAGAAGCTGATTATTGACAATTTTACTATGACTCTGGGAGATCATAAAATTTTCAGTGTCACAGCCTCTTGCAAGATCATTTGGCACAGCATCTTGACACTCCAGGAGATATGGTTGTGGAGATTCTGAAAAAGCTTTACGTATGAGGCTTTCATTTGTCTCATACATAGAGTGTACCTGCAGAGAAAGAACTTCAAGGTCCTTTTGTAACTTATTCACAGCAATTGAATAATTTAATCTTGCCCTTCTTAGTGCCGCTTCTGATGAATGAGCTCTTTTCTCCAGCTCTTTATTATGGAGATCCAAGTTACATCTCTCCTCAGCAAGTTGTAACAGCTCATTGTTCATCTGTTGATGCATTGCCTCCATCTGAGCCTTAGTGGATGAAACAGTGTATATGCATGAAGAATGTTCATTTCTTAGATTCTGCAATTCACCAAGAATCTGTTTCTGGTTTTCCTCCAGCTCTTGAATAAGTGCTTCATAATAACATTCCATCTGATCCATTTTTCTTAGAAGGCACTCTCGTTCAGCTTTAGACTCATCTAACTCCCTCAGAAGTTTAAAAATTTCTCCTTGCATTGCATTTGTAGCATCTACTGAACCAGTTCCAGTAGGCAGCAGCCCTGGCAAAAGTACACCTTCAGGATGGCACAACTCAACACCTAGACCAGTATCTGACATGACATGATCAGTTTTAGGTGAACTCATTACGCCAATGGTTGTCATTGCTTTTCCAACTGAAAGTCCGTCAAGCTGATTACTAGAACCCTCAGCTCCTCGTTTGAGATCTTGCACAATACTGAGCAATGCCTCTAGATCTGTGTGCTGCAAAGTTGAATCATTCCCATTGAATCCAAGATGTGCCTTCTCCTGAACTTCTCTTATCTTATCCTCCACAGCTGAAATGCCCTTCATCCATCTCAAATTCGTGTCTTGCATTAAGTTATATGGATCTGCATCTACTGCTGTCCTTCTAGGAATTGGAGGATTCATTTTCAAATTCTTTAGCCATTGAAGATCATCTTTAAACCTAGAACAGTCTGATTTGAGCAAAGAGACCTCTTTCACCAGTTCCTGATCTGCAGAAATTTCAATGGCTAATTTTTTTGTCAAGCTTTGTGCTTCAACACCTATATCATCAGCATAACTTTGCAGAGAGCTTATCTCCCGTCTTAGATCATTAATAGTCATATTGGCTGCTTCCAAGGCTCCCCTAAGTCTATTGTTTTCTTCATATGCAATTGCAATTTCACCATCGGTTAAGTTTTCAGCACCCCATTGGTGGACCCAATCACCGGTACCATGCACCAAAAAGCGATGATCAGATGCCCCTTTCTCCTTTTCAGAGCTCTGAGGGGAAGGAACTCCCTCACGATCACCAGAGAATGTTCTCTTGACACTCTCAATTTCACGAGTGCTAGAGACTTCATTCTTTTCTGCACACAAACTTCCTGAAGTGTTGGATGATCCATCAAAGCCAGCAGCTGAGTCTGCATACTCTTCACTGACACCTGATTCTTCTTCAAGTGATGGTAGCTCCTTAGATTCTAACTTGAATTTAACTCTTGGGCTCACCTAATAATAATGATATCATTAGAAGTTTTATAATGTTACACAATCTTACAGAAAGATAACAGCTTTAAGCTAGGCTTTGCTCCTTGTCAAATGTCTTCAACACAGAAGAATTAATTCTAGACATAACAATTATGGACCACAAAAAAGAATATTAGAGATTCTTACACAAAAATACACACTTAGTACACATATTTTACCCTGGAGCAGGATATTGTCGCAGCGTGACCCGTGAGAGTTTTCCAGTTAATGGCACAGACTTCATTTAGCCTACTGTTTCATTAGAGATATCTGCTATACATTCTCTTTTGTGATCTTTGCTGAAAGAAACTAAAAGAACAACCAAGCATAGCCAGAGAGAACATCTGACATATTGTATGGCTAAGAACTTTTGGGAATGGAGGTAGTGTGTTTTTGTTTGCAAGTTTATTTATTTACTCATATGTTAAAAATTAATATTATTTTACTAAACTTATATAAAAATATAAAGATTTGCCAATTTCGTTCTTTTAATCTAACTAATGATGCCCTGCCCAAAATATTCAACAATAATATTACAAACTAGTTGTTGAGCACTTGAAGCAACCCAGACCAAGGAGTCCAAGAAGGTTTGGACTTAGGGTTCAGAGCTTTTGAAATTTACCCAAGACCCATTGCTACTCAGCTACCCTACTCTTAACAGCGCAAATTCTAATATGACCCAATCTGATCTTCATGAGATGAACCTTTTTACCTATTCATCTATTACTCTATTATACATGTGTGCATTTGCCAGACAATTGTAACATAAGAAAGATAAATGCACTTATACCTTGACACCACATCATTTTATGCCAATAGTTCTTACTTCTTAGATTGGAACTCCACTTAAGATTCAAAGTATCAAATTGATTGTATTACTGCGTACCTTTAGAACATATGCCTTAGTAATACTAAGAGTAACCCTTATTCATTCATACGAGCAACCTCAATTATTCATAATGGTAACCTTATTTTATCAATAAGAGTAACCCCAATTTATAACAACTTTATAAGAATAACATCAATTAAATAAAAAATAAAAATTAAAAAAGGAACCATATCTGATCATTCAAGTAACTCCTCTTTTTTGGTTTTGACTATTAAGAATTAACAGAATGACTCCACTTGTTATAAGAGTAACCCGATTCCCCCATTGCGGTAAACCCTCATCCATCAAAGTAACCCCATTTGATCATCGTCATAACCCCATTATTTAATAATTGCTTATATGTGAAGAGGCCACGCGTTCAATTAATGGTGTGGCTGGCCAAATATAAGAATTTGTGATAATCAATATTATTAATAATTTTAATAATTAATGAAACAAACTCCGCCAAACCCACTGCCAGTCCCAAGCCTGGATAAAGGAGGACGGTTACGGTAGGCCAGTGACAGCCAGTGTAAAACTTTGTCACATCGCTTGACAAGAGCCACAATGATTGAGAAGAGTACTAGGGTGGGTGACCTCCTGGGAAGTCCTCATGTTGGTTCATGTAGCCAACCCCACTTATGGGATTAAGGCGTTCAAGCAGAGAAGAAGAATAATTAATGAAACAATATAAAAAAAAAAAAACTCATTATAGCATCTGAGATTAAAAAATTTCATGGTGACGTGCAATCTATAAAAGGTTTTAAAACACAAACAAAAAAGCATCACAAATACAGATGCAGCTTCAAAAACACTCTGTAGAAAAGTGTCATACCTTGTCAGTACGAGAAATGACTCCATCTACTGGTGCTGACAGTTTTCCATTATCATTATCAGTATTTGACGGCAAACCTCTGTCACTGACTTCCCTCTGCTGTTCAAATTCCCTGGACATTTGAATGACAATATAAGACCTACTAAATAAAACAGTGGAATCACTAACTTGTATTAGGAGTCTGTACACTGTACCTGAAACCTGTTTTTGAAGTCAAAAGCTGCACTGTAACCTGGCATTGAATGAGAGTCAGCTATATTTCTTATGTTCAAGATCAAATGATTTTTTAAAAGTGAAAACCATGTTTCTATAGATGCATCAAGATTTGTGGCATCTAAAGTCTAAACCATAACTAGTGCTGAGGCACCCACATACTGTGGTATCTAAGATGCAGATATATTTGTCCTTATAAAGTCTAAAGATGATTGCCAACAGAACCCTACTCTAAAATGATGAAAAAACATCATTAGATTGAAGGAAATAAAATCCCAATAAATGTTTTGACTGTTTGTATCATGGCTTCCCTTCCTCCACCAGTCCACCCCACCCCCGAAACAAAAGGAAAATTCAACACGTTAGATCTTTTACTGTCTTTAGATAACTGTCCCATTGGTATCCTCCCTACCAGCGCCAAAATCTTGTCATATATTAGTTTACTTTCATAAAAGAAAGTATGGAGCACTTTAGAACTGCCTAACTGTGCCTGGACAGAAGTCTAAGCACCCAGATTTCATACTTTAGGAGAAGTAACACCAAAGACAGTGGGAAAGGATGATAATGTCAATTTTCCCCTCAACCCCAATACCCCCCCCCCCCCCAAAAAAAAAAAAAAAAAAAAAAAAAAATTAAAAAATTAAAAAAAAAAAACAACAAAAAAAATAAAAACCCACATGTAAGAGAAACAGAAAGCTTTTCTTGTTCACAAAACAAATCACAAGCCTTCATCATAATGCTTACTGTGCAGTATATTTTTTTTCAGGTCAAGCAATATGTTCTCAATTTCCTGTCAGATATAACCTCAAACCAAAATGAATGGAAAAAAAAAAAAAAATTATCCTTACATGTAACATAGCTCCAGAATCAGATCCCTGAAGGGGCAGAGAAATGGCAGTGGGCTTTAACGCATCAACATACTCAGAAAGATTTATGCTAGCTTCACCAAAAAGGCTAGACCTTGATGTCCCCTGATAGCAGCAGAGAGAAGAGAGCAAGAAAATCAAATAGTTCTTCAAACAAGAAGAAATATACATAAACTGGTATGTTGACAATATCCAAGTACAGGAATTATAAGCAATTACCATTGCAACAAGAAGTTTGTAAATTTTTTCTTCAAATTGTTTAGTTCTAGAGTCTTGGAGAAGTCTGGTGGTTTCATAGATAGGATCTGGCCATTTGCAAGAACCATTTCTAACATTTGCTTTATTAGTCTTTGCTGTTGCCTTGCCAGAATCAGCCGGAACTAATGAAATGAATAAATTATTCCATCCAGATTGTGGGATCTGTAAAAGGCAGAAATAATCACTTCAGTTGGAACAGAAGTAATTAAAACAGATCCCTTTTCTACACCAAATGTGGTGCCACATCTCAAACAGAGCAGTTTAAGCTAATAGTAATTCAAGTACTGAAAATAATAATTCGATATTATATTGGGATACTGTGACACAAACACAAAGGGAAATAACATGAAGCCTTTCTATTTTTGGAGGTAAAATGCTTCCTCTGTTGTTTATATATTTCCATTGCAGTATGGGGGCAGGCACCGAGTTCTAGGAAACCCACGTGATGAGGAGTTAAAAAAAATGAAAACAAAAGCTATAGAAGGCATATTAAACTAATTTAAACTTCCAAAATTGGAAAGTATTGCAAGTCTTGCAGCTATATAACACCATGAAGATTTCTCCAATAGTACGGTTGTCCAACTTAATGAATGATATTTAGTATAATCCACAATTATCAGTCCTTAAATTGAGTCTAAAAAACACTACTTCATATTAAATTTTTCTACAAAAATAAGTCGGAATACTTATGCTGTTAGCCTGTTATGCATCATCCTTAATGTTCATTCTGCACTTTGTTCGTCCCTTGTCTTACCTTTTCTCTGCGATCTGCATCAGTATAAGCAGCTAGGAAGGACTGAAGTACATTTCAGGCATATAGAAACTAATTGATTAAATTTTAAAATCCACTTTTAACAGGCTTTAACTAGAACAAAAATATCAACATCAACATTATCCTATGCCTCTAAAGAGGTTCCTACAGATGCATCTAAAAGGGAGAGAAATTGGAATCTATCATAAATTTGTCCAAGTATCACATATAATGTTAATAAATCAGTATAACCAGGTTTGTCCACCACTACCACCTCCACCACCCACCCACAGGAACCGCTTTCAGTAATATGCAATCTGGCAAATAATAAGGAGTAAAATGGTACACTTCTGGACTAATGTTATATGTAATTATCCAATCCCAGCATACTTTAAGAGAATTAACTGCTTAAATCACAGTGTGCATTGCGAGTATTCATAAGAAACAACTTACATGTGTACATTGGAACTGAAGTCGGAATACAACTTTTACTTTGGTCTTTTCAAGTTTCCACTTCGAAACCCTTGACATTCTTGGCGGTCAGAGTATTATAAAGTGAAGACCATTTGATTCAACTATCGATACCCTGTTCACAAAACACATAATGGCTTTTAAGACTTCACATGTTTCCACTAAAACTAAAGCCGAACCTCTATGGATTACTATTAGCAAGGTAATGATCATTTAAATTTAGCAGAGAAATGTAAGAAAGTATTTCAATTGCCAAATCCATTTAGTTCTAAATAAATGTCTATATGTCATTGTTTCAATAGTGACACCTTTAAGCAAATTCCTAATGAGAAACCATTCATACAAGCTAATTCCGTGGTTCATTAATTATCCCCATACCTTCCTAACAACATTCACAAAAGATCTACGGTTTTTACAAAACATCGCCCCTATACTTTTTCGGAGCCTCTTCAAGCATAGCTATTAAAGTCACAAATATACTCATCATAGTAATAAAACAAAAATAAAATTAAACCACCCAAAAAGTGCAATAATCCTTTTTCTTATTAAGACTAAGACCCAAAAGAAAAATGCAATTACTTCCATAACTTTTACACTAATGTGGGTCACTTGGGCCACAAAACCCGCTTAAAATGTATATTTGTATTAAAGTAAACCTTTAAACTAAATCAACAATCCAAAAAACCAGAAACGAGTATATTCTACTTGATTCATTTCGATTTCGTTGCGAATTCGGATAAATGCACGTAAAATCAACAATCTAGAACACTAAAGACTATACCCAGAAGCAGATCTTGCATTTGAATACTAAACAAGAAAGAAAAGATGCAAAATTCAGACAAAATTCCCAGAATTTTACCTTTTAGAATTCAAAATTTGAAAATTTTCAGCTTCAAATTTCAAATGGGTTTGCTTCAAACAAGCCAAAAATCAGCTCAAATCGCTCCCAATCTCAACAATGTACTTCAAATCTCCAAAAAGATCACCCAAACACTAAAATCAATGAAATGAGTAAATGGGGTTATGATTATTGATAAATAGAGAAACCCCAAAAAGTCAAGAACTCAATAGAGAACTCAGGACCACAGTAAAAGAAAAAAAATCAACTTTATTTTCCTAAAATTCAAAAAATAAAAAATAAAATAAAATGTTGAAGCACTGAAGCAGCCCATAAACCCAAAAAAACCCAGAACAGTGACTGTTACAAATTATTTACAAAATCCAAAACAATAAAATAAATAAATTGAATAAAGTAAAATTAATAAGACAGGGAAGTGTTGTCAAGCACCTAATTGCAGATCTTCAAATAATTGGGAGCTGCTGGAGTATTCTTTTGAAGTAAGCAAGGAAACAAAAACCTTATGTCTGAAGCTTTAAACTAGAATGATAATAAGCGGGATCAAAAACTTAAGATCAAATCTCGTCTACATCACTTATTAATGTATATTTCGCCAATAAGAAAGATGATTGGTGGGAAATAATGTGTTCGGATTTTTGAAATGAGCAGGAGGTTTGTGTGATTAATGTGACAAGGAGGAAAAAGACAGCCCGCCAAAGAAGCAAAGACTTGTGAAAATTCACGAATTAATTGTGGGTGGTCAATTCATTTTCCTTTGATTAGTGTAAGAGATTTGGTATTAGTGCTTGTTATAATAGATTAATATTTGAGTAATGTGGGGTACAAATGATGTCTTAGCTTTTTTGCAGATTTTCAGACACATAAGAAGATGGGCTGTCTTGTGTTTGTTAGAATTATATAGTGGGATTGTCTTGATATTTTGACTTCACATAGTTTTCAATTATATGGAGTATTGTTTTTTTTTTCTTTTTTTTCTTAAATGCTACACTTTAATCGTTAGCTTAGGATAAATTCATTGATTGTTATATAAATAAAATATGTAATTAGGATAGTTGCGGCATTGTAAAATGATAACAAAAAATATTGGTGTAATACTTTTTTAAAAAGTAAGGGATGTGAGATGGACTCAAAGTTAATCCGATATCCAAAGTGATCAAACTCGAATGTACCCAACTCGAAGTTGACCCGATATACCTGTAGTTGGCTCGTTATCCGAAGTGACCCAATACCTGAAGTGACCCAACTTTATTTTAACACACTAATAGGAATAACAATAAGCTAACATGCCTCACTCCAAAATAAAAAAAAAAGTTAGTCACATGTAAAGCCACTCTTTTAAAACTTACCACCATAATAAACAACTCTAAACTCGATAACTTGACACTTGACTCAGTTTTAATCAACTTACTTTAATTGGATTACGCATCGAATGAGTTTCTTACTTCATAGTGTCCACAAAAGGAATTAACTTTAATTCCTTGAAAATTAAGAAGAAAATTAAAAGTGTTTTAAACAAGTACAATATTGTTTTAAGTTCATGTAATAATCTGATATTGTAAAAATATATGACTATTACATTGATTAAATTAATTTCATTGTCTCAATAAAATCATTTTTTTTTAAGAAATGGTGTAAAATTATTATGAGTATTTAAAATTCGTAAATCATACATCGCATGGGAACTTGTAGGCACCTAATCGTGTCTCCCCTACTCAAATTTGATGATAAGTAGTCTTTTACTGCCATTTGGTCGTGTTACGTATCGGATCCGAGAATTGCTTGATTTCCCATAGCCTAGCTGAAAGTGTAACTGGTACTCAAGAAAGGGGGTTGAACGGGAGAAGTTGTGAACTTATAAATTTTTTCTTGATATAAAGGGGAACCAGTAGAATTAAAGCTAGTTCCTGCACAACGAAAATAGAAATAATGCCAGAAAGCATAAGAACACATAGATTTATCGAGGTTCAGCTCAACCCAAAGCCTACGTCCTCCCTACCCTAATTACTCTTATTAATCAACTCAAAAAAACAAAAGCGGTTACAATGATTGTTCATCTAACTCTAGCTAAATAATCCTCACACCTAATTAACTCAAGGTGTTACTCAGCATTTGAACTCACAAGCACTTTGTGCTTGAACTCCCAACTGCTAACCAATCACTAACCCCTTAGTGATTCAATTATAACACTCAATGATTGATGAATCATATTTATATAGGAATTATAGGCACGTTTATGCTACTTTATAGTTGCTTTTTAGGTCTTTTAGTCACTTTTTAAGTCGCAAATGCATAAATTGTCCGTTTTGCGCTCTATTACACTTCGTTTGTATTTTCTTAATGTTTCAGGTAGTTTTTATAATTATTTGGACACTTTCAGAGTGGTTTTGGATGAATAGGACAATGAAAGGATGAAAAGTTGATTAATCAAAGTTGTTGAATGAAGGATATGTGTTTGTGGAGCTTAGGTTGAGATTTATAAGCATATGAATGAAAATAACATCCACAAGGATCGCTATGCATCTTTCGGGAACGAATTTGAGTTAGAAACGAAGCTAAACAATGATTTACGAAGTGCCAAAACTCACCCTAGCTTGTCCACTCTTTTGATTATAACTTGAGTTCTACATATCAAATTGGAGTGATTCAAGTTGTGTTATAAACTAGACTTGAATAGGTCACACACCCCAAGAAGCCTCATAGAACAGAAGATGTGGTTGTTTCAATCCGAGCAATGCAGTCAGCTACCCGTAGGATTTGCTGCGCGCCTATCCCGCGCCCACTCGAACGTCCCACGCTACTGCCAAGCCTTAGCCTACCTACGCCCGCAGGTTTTGGCGAGTGAACAACAACCCACAATACATCATCGCTTCACATATAGCTCGTGTCCTTCAACCTCACTTACGGTTTTATGCCACGTCATCTTCTATCGTCTAACAGTATTGTAACTTATGTAATTTATATTTCTTATTTCTTTTCTTTTTTTATTTATAGATTAGAATTTAGGATATTATAAATAATCTAAGGGATTATTCTATTTTCCCTTGTCCTTTTATGCCTTTTATTTTTTATACGTTCGTTTTAGTTTCTCTCTAGCCCTAGTTTTTCATGAACAACTCCATGGATACCTCCATGGATTTGTCCATGAGTTTGTTACTTTAATTTATAGAGGTAATTTTATTTCTTTACTTTAATCATGCTTTCTTTCTTAGATTTAGTTTTAATTATTCATTTCATGCTTGAGTGGTTTGTTTTTAGGGTTTGGGAATCCATATTTATAAAATGCATCTTGATTAAATATTATTGATATTTTAAAAGGGACTTGTTAAACATCGCCCGCGTTTTTCTACATAAAGCCCACAATTTATAAAATTTTGACAACTTTGCCCTTGTTCTAATTTTAACCTAAAACGAAATTTTGTCTCACCCAAAATGTGGAACAGCGCCGGATCGCCGAGGGACACCAAAGAGCCGCCGTCGTCGCCGGAAAACGAGGTCCGAGGTGGTTAAAAATCAATTTTTGGCGGCGAACGTCTGGCCGGGACGCCGCCACCGTGGTTGGGGCGCCTGGCCAGGACGCCACCACCGTGGCTGGGGCGCCTGGCCAGGACGCCGCCACCATGGTAGTGGCGTCCTGGCCAGGCGCCCCAGCCACGGTAGTGGCGTCCCGGCCAGGCGCCACCTCCTTGGTATATTTTTTTTTAAATCTTTTTTTTCGTTTTGGTTTTTTTTTTTTTTTTTTTGTTTGAATTTTGATAAATTTGAAATTTTTTTTAAAAAACAAAAAAAAATATTAATTTATTTTGAAAATATGCTTTAGTAAATTCAAAAAATAAACAAAATTAGAAAGAAAAAACCAAAATAATAAAAAAATTTAGGAAACAAAAACATAATAAAGAAAAAAATTGCAAAGAAAAAAACAGTGGCGGCGCCTGGGCAGGACGCCAGAAGCCTTGGTTGTGGCGCCTGGGTGGGGCGCTGCCACCACGGCTGCTTCGCGATCCGGCGACTTTGTTTACTTCCACCGCGAAACCGCCTCCGGTGCCGCCACTTCCCGTTTATTAGCCATAACAGTGTGTTTTAAGATAAAAGTGTGTTTTTGATGTTGAGGGCAAAAATGTCATTTCATTTCAAATTTGTGGGCTTTATGTGGAGATTTGCGGGCGATGTTTAGCAATTCACTTTATTATTGATTTCGCTAACTGATAGTGTTTTATTGTTAATCTTACAACCTGATCAATTGTTTGATTAATTATTGTTGATAGAGTTTGAATAGAAAGGTCGTACTTTTAGAGGTTTACCTACAATTAGCAATTCTGATTATGTTAGCGACCGAATTACATATGTTGAATTGAGAGCGTTAAGACCAGACCGTAGGCTTAGAAATTGCTTTAGATACTTGATTAAATGAATTGTTATTGATATTTGATAGATTTAGAATTATAAACATGGTGAACCACAACCCTAGTCCTTTTTATTAATTGCATTCTTATTTTTGTTTAGACTACCTTTCAATCTCAATTTCGCGACATTGTTTAGTTTCTCCAATCCTTAGAAGTTAGATTGAATAGTCATCACTGCGTGGATTCAACCTTACTTACTCTACTACATTGTTAGTTGGTTTTATTAGAATTTATTTTTGATAGGTGTACGACAACCTATCAATGATCCCTTAAAAGCGCAATCTCTCAAAGCAAAGGTAAGAGAAAAAAACAAAACGTAATAAGGTGTGTGCACAAACAGTTGTTAAGCCGACGAACTGTTTTTCAGGAGTTTTTTTTTTAGCTTTTCGAATGATCTCTCAAAATATGCGTAAAAAGCCACAGCCAAAAAATTAAACTAGAAATTAATGTGTTTATCTTTTATAGTGTTTGAGAGATAAATCATTTTGTAACTTAGAAGGTCATATCTTAGATTGAAGATCCTTTCCTTGATGTATTAGTACTCGCATAAACGAAAACATCTTCTATATTAAGTTGTTTCCTAAAATAGGACCAAAATAATATCCATCCTAAGATACATGCAAAATAATTTATCTCCTAAACTAATATAAACACAATTTCTCTTAGTTGGCAAATATCCCCTTGGTTAAAATATGCTAAGGACAAAATCCTCAACTTTTGGAATTACCGAACATTTACCAATTAATTGTCCCAGCATTGTAAACAGTCTTTACAATTTCGTTCGTTTCCAGTGGCGGACCAACCTAGCGTTGTTCAAGTTGTCATAGCCCAAAATCTAATAACCTTAGCCCAATTTATATTATCAAAACGCAGTCCAAAATCGAGCAAATTTGATTTTCGTGCCTCGTAACTTTTACGCAAATCCTATGTGGTTGAATGGCCCTTGAAATAAGCTTTCCAATGATATATCATGTCCGATTCCGATTTAAAATGAATCAGATATGAGCCAAATACTAAGTCCGGTCTAAAATTGACACCCTTGCACTATTTCATCCATATTTTAAGATGTACAAATTATTTTGACCTAATTTCAATTGGATTAGAAGTAGACTTTTAGGACTTTCCAACGATATATTATATGCCATTTTTTATTTTTTTCCCGTCACCTACCATAGCAATACTGAACTCCTTTAATTTATAGAGTTTCGGGCACCAAATTAGATGCACAAAACAACTATATTCTACACTTTTACTATAACTAATCATTCCTCCTTCAAGTCATCCGAAGAGACATTAAAATACTCGAAGTACTACTCGATCTTAAACCTAGGCATGAAATGTTAAATTACAAAGGGTTAGTTTGACAAAGCTAAACTTTATTTTAACGTAATTCTTTTTTCAAAGCTGGTGTAGCGATTTATAAGGGAACGAGTGCAATGTAGGAAATTAATTTATTTTAATTTCTAATTTTTTTTTTATTTTTATTTTGCTAATATCATTTTAGGATTTTTGTAATTATTATTGTCATATGATTTAATTTGTACCTTTAAAAGTATTATGTTGGTTCCAATATTTTTGTTACATGATTATCAATTTGATCACTCTTTTACATGTTTCAAATAAGAATATGTAATTGAAAATCATGCCTAATAAGATAATGTGGACAACTAGTTTAATTAGGTTCCCTTTTAATTTGTTGACTTAATAAGTGATTACAATATTTAGAATTATGTGTGCAGTAATATTCAACCAACTTAGTAATATTAGTTTGGAACAAAATTGACTTTGATTGTATGTCTTTTGGATCGTAAATAACACTTATCACAATAAGAATCGAGTGGAGGCCAATATGGACGAAGTTGTCTTATTGACTCAATTTAGTACCTTCATCCCTAAACCTCCGGCCGTGGTTCGTGACTATATGGAGTTAGTAATAATCTCATGAATTATGAATGAAGTGTAAACCTTCATGGATCAAAATTTGTGGTGACCTTGTCCTTTTTGCGTCAGTAAAATCCATGAACGATTTACAAGTTATCTAAAAACATGTTGACTGCTCATTACTTTATCCCTTGTCCCTACCGTAGAAGTTAAATCCAACTTCCTATGATTGTCGAACATGTTCACACATACTAAAGTAGACTCACTTCTTGTGATGCTTACAGTACTATACTGACCAAATATTAAAACAAGGTTGCCTAGATAGAATATACTGATATAAGATAATTAGTTACAAATTAGCCGCAATATATGTACCAAGAACTACGAGTAACAGATTAACGTCAAAATAAGCTGCAATCTTCATTTTCATGCAGTTAAGCTTGTAAGTCAAAAAATATACAAAAGCTAAGCTTTTCTCTGTGCATATACATGCAAGTGACTTTAGTGCATATATATAAAATATGTGCAAGTGACTAATTAAAGAAGGAAAATTGACTTAAAATAATACCAATTACCAATGGTGTGTGTAAAATAATACGAACTTAATTATTTGTTATTAGCAGTACCACTTTTTATATTATATGGGCAAAATAGTATGCTGATCACTGAAAAAGTATTTAGAGGAATATTCTGTCTTTATTTATTATTACTATATTTTATTTTTATTAATTTTCTATTTCTTTTCAAAATACATATTATGTTAACAATTTTTCTTTACAAAGATTAATAATGCCCCACCCACCCCTTTGTTTTTTTTTTCTTTCTTTCTAATTTTCAATATGTATTTAAAAAAATTTTAATTAAAAAAAAATACATGTAGTAATTTCTACTATCACGCAATAGTAAATAGGGTATTTAAATGCATTATTATGTTGATCTAATTAGTTTCAAAAATCCAAAATTTCCCCACATTCACCAACCAAAATAAAGAGGGGAATTTTTCAAATTTTTAAACAATTTTTATAATTAATTATATCAAAATAATTACATTTAAATACCATATTTACTATTGTGTGGTAGTAGAAATTACTATAGATATTTTGAAAAAAAAATAAATTTAAATACATATTAACAATTCAAAAAAAAAAAAAAAAGCCTAGGGTGGGGCATTATTAATTTGGATTGTAAAGGAAATTGTTAACATAATATGTAGTTTTGAAAAGAAAACAGAATATTAATAAATATAGATGAAATATTCCTCGAAATACTTTTTTGGTGACCAGCGTACTATTTTGCACATATAGTGTAAAAGGTAGTGTCGCTAATATCAAATAGTTGAGTTCGTATTATTTTACACACACCGTTAATAGTTGGTATTATTTTAAGCCAATTTTCCATTAAAGAATAATAGAAGTTGGTTTCTTAACTGATCGAGATTACTCACCCCACGAAACACACTTATCTTTGCATCTAATTAAACATGTTAATTATTTACAAATAGTTTATCTATTAACATCAACATTTCTGCAAGAAATCAATAAGCATCTATCAATCTTTTCTTGGTGGGTATAGTATCAGTGTTGTCTTATAAAAATTTCAAACTAAATTCTATCCATCAACTTCATGGAATAATTGTTCCTATTTGCTATATTACTCATGTACGTTTACTTGTTCAAGTAGTGCACATAAGAGCAAACCTTAAAAAATGAGGAAGTATTACATCTTTCTCATTCTAGAGGGCGGCTACACTTCCCCCCTCCCCCAACCCCTCGTTTTAAAATTCCTGACCTATAAATAATGGACTAAAAAACCGTTGGTGTTGAAGTATAGTCTGTTAAAGTTATTTTTCTTTCTTTACAATTTTTTTTTTAAAAAATAAAATTCTAAACTTAAAGTAAGAAAATTTTAACAAGTTTAGACAAATAGGAGTAAAACATATTTCATTATGTAACCCTTTCGAGTCGGGCATAGGTGAACCGATCGAGTAGTTATAATAAACTTGTAAAAATTGTATGGGAAGGGAAAAAAAAAGTTACTTCCTCACATTTTTTAATAAGTCTTTTGTAAGGCGGATATACATTAATTTTATTGTAAGACAGTCATTTTGAGGGTAACTTTAATTATTTTAATAGTAACTTTAACCCCTTAAAGGATAACTTTTAATTTGTCGTTGGTTTGAATTTTATTTTAATATGTAATTTCTTATAGATTTATGATTACATACTATAAAGGTTAATATGATTAATCTAATACATTATAAGTTTTTTGTAACATAAAATTTATTATCAGAAATATAATAACTTTTGTAGTATAAAGGGTAACTTTAAATACTTTTAAGATAACTTTAACCCGTTTTATAATAAATTAACGTACATCTGCCTTTTTGGAGAATTTGTGAAATTTTAACGGTCTCAATCATAAAAGGGATGGTCCCAATGTAATTTAATGGTCCTAATAATGTACTTTTTTTTTGAAACGGTCCTAATAATGTACTTTATTCTCCAAAGAAAGATGATTCCAATATATTTTAATGGTCTCAATGTACTTTATTCCAAGAATCTCTTTTATTCTTAATTTACATAAAAGATTTCAAATGAATAGAACATATTGAAACGGAGAGAGTATTTATTAGAGGTATCTTTGCCGGTGCTTCAACCAAAAAAAGAAAAGCTTCCCACATAGATTTACAACAAAAGGCATATACGATATATTTTATTTCTTGATAAAAATTAAGGAATTGCTGAACTCAATGAGTTTATTGAAAAAGACCATTGATAAGTATGATAACCAACTTACCAACACAAAAGGAGCAGAGGTAACGTTTCGTACTAGTATTTCTTAGTACCACCATCAAGCCAAATAATGTCACTCTATCTATTTCATATAATTGTCCATCTATATATAGATTAATGAAGGTGCGTTAAATTGTTCGTACTAACCCTAAAAGGTGTAACTGTTACGTGTAATTACATCATCCAATCCTTTTTTTTTCTTCTCTTTTGGAATGTTTTTGTGAGGAAAAAAAATTAAAAATTAAAGTGGGAAGAGCAAAAATGATTAGAGGGACTTTTTCGTTATCTTGTTCTCACTTTCACAAGAAACAAGCATAATAATACTCCCTTCGTAATAATCGCAACACTAAGTGTTGCGCATAGTTTTAGAAAATTATAGCCAAAGGGAGAAATTTAAGTTATACGGAGTATAATATAGTTGGAAGGGGTATATTTCGTATTTAATTGTTAGCAGGAGAGAGAAATAATATTAAACAAAATGGTGTAATGTAGGAGAGAGAAATAATAAAATAGAAAGTCGTCCTTATCAAATAAGAAAATGTTCAATTATTATATACATAAAAGAAAAGTATTGTGATTATTATTATGAGAGGAAGGGAGTATATGTATAATACCAATCCATGCTCAAAATTAGCTACTTCAACAAGTATATATATATATATATATATATATATATATATATATATATATATATATATATATATATATATATATATATTGGAGTAAATCATTAACCACCCATCATATATTATAAATGTAAAATGCTGAGTTTTTTCAATTTACTAGTGTAACGTTAACAAACAAGTAAAATATTTGTATAACCTAAGTTTAATTAGCCATAACTTAGCTAACTCATAATTAAGTCCTATAACTTAACCCCTCTCTATCTACATGCATCTTTAGATGCTTGAAAGGAAAAACAAATTGAGAGAGAGGAGTTTATATTAGAAAAAATAATAAGGGTAAGTTTATCCCAAGACCCAGACTCATACACCAGAATCTGTCACGTCAACTTTCTACTGGCTTTAAATTATTTTTTATTATTTAGACTCATACTAAACTTTTTTCAATTTAACACATTATCCCAAGAGTCACTTCAGACTCACTTACCCTCCTAAAAAATATTAACAATCATTATTAAAATATCAATAACTATTTTGAGTTGATGAGTTGGCAGCTCATCATTGGCCAACAAAAAAAAAATTAGAATTCTTTTTCAATTTGTAGAGTCTTAAGATGAGTTTTGGATTTCAAAACTCATCTCAAGACTACATATAGTCTTGCACCACATTATTGCAAAAAACACAAGCCTTGTATGTGAGTCTTGAGTCAAGACTCCACTCAAGACTCACCAATAAACTTACCCTAAGCCGGTTTAAAATCATAAATTAAAGAATATAATTTATGTTAAACTAAACTTATGAGCATGAATTTTGTTGATCAAGAAGGGTTTCCCACCCCTAGAAAATCAATGAAGTGAACCTCTTTGGTGTTACTCGCCATTGCACGACCGCATCCTCCATCCTCGAGTGCTTCTTCTTGTAATGATGATTGCCTCATAGCAGTTGTTGTCGTCCTCTTGCTTTGGCTGACTAGTGGAGCATAACCAAAAGAAATAGCCTTGTTGTGGTCGGAAAAATAATTAACTCCATAAGATGAGCCAAACCCTCTTCCACATGAAAACCTTGTATCAAAACCATTTGAGTGCTCAAATAATGAGCTATTAGTACTATTATTACTTCCAAGCCAATTTCCAAGTAAACATTGTGGATGTATCGTCGAAGATGATGCCCTATAAGTCCCCTTGCTTATACATGATCGCGGAAAAGTCAAGCATGCCATTGTACTAGCTTTCCTCATCTCCTTGTTTAAATTTTGTTCAAACTTGTACAATTCGTGACTATGATCATTATTCTTTAGGGTGCCATGATATTTCCATGTTTTCGAGAGGAGATCATGAGTTGATGAGGTGGTAGACGACGAAATACTAGAACTATTTAAGCTTGATCTCTTGTTTGATTGTTGCTTGGACCGCTCCCTTTGCATCCTAGCCATGATAACGTGCCAATGGTTCTTGACGGCATTGTCTGTTCTACCAGGGAATAGTCGCGAAATTAATGCCCATTTGTTCCCATGGATCCGGTGGGCGGTCAAAAGCCGTTCTTCCTCCTCTTCTGTGAAAGGCTTCCTATTGATTCTTGGGTCCAATTGATTGAACCATCTTAACCTACAACTCTTCCCTGAAAAACAAATTTAAAATATATATTTAAAAAAAAAAATAATTGATCAAGACATGTTTTCAATGTATAATCATCTATTTTAGTGGATTATTTAGGAATAAGTACCTTTCGGATTAATCTATTTCACTTAATCACAATAAAAAGCAATTCTCTAGAATTATAACTTTCTAATTGTAAACCTAGCTAGGATGCTTAAATTTTACATCAACCCCATGCACATATTATATAAACTATTGATTAAAAAAAATTTGATGTTCTGTCCATTTCAATATCTTACAAAAAATATGTACAAAAAAAAAGCTCTTATATTCATATTAAACTCCAAAAACCTAATAATTAATATGCTCATAATATGATACACAAAACAAGAAAATCGGTTTTAAAAGAAATATATAGAGGAAATAATTATTAGTAATTATCTATAAGTTGATCTAATGAACAAAAAATTATTAGTAATTAATTATCTATAAGTTGATCTAATGAACAAACAAGCAAGTACATAACATACCTGATCTTCCTTGGAGCTTTTCAGCTATGGAATTCCAATTCTGAGGGCCATGTTGCTCAACGAGTTTTCGAAGCTTTTCGTCTTCAGCTGGTCTCCAGTGACCTCTAGGACAGCTGTTAGAAGATTTCATCATCTCATTATCACTTGAATTTTTTCCAGAATCCTCCATTATAATTAGTTATCAATCTAAGAGATAAGTACTTGTATTTTATGTTATATGATGAAAATAATATTAAAGTTATTAAGCTTTGTTATGATTGTTTCTTTTGACTTTTAAAATAGAGAATTGAATATAAGAAGTAGTTTGGAGAGAAAAATAACTTAAGTGTAGTAAAGTAAGAGAAGTATAGGTTAAGATACAAAAAAGAGGGAGAAGAAAGAAAATGGGTTAACAGAATAAGAAAAGTGAGTAGGTTGTGTTTTTAGGGTTGTGGATGGGCAGTCACTTTTGTTGTTTTCTCACGACATTATTTTTTTTCTTTTTTTTTTTTTTACATTTGTCAATTTATAAATTTCAATATCTATATATCTTTGATTTTTTAGGTATTTTGAACTTATTTGTTCTTTTCGTTTTCCAATTTAAAAGATTTGAAAAGTTTTTCTCATTTGGAATCAATCTATAAATGGCTAAGCTAAAATTTTCCATAATTTTTCTTCCATTTACTTGGTAAATGTATGTGCCAAAAACTTTATTACTTTTTCCAGTTTACCATGTAATTTTTAATTTTTCCATGCATGATTTTAAATTTTAATCATCATTTTCTCTTCCCAATTGTCACATTAATTACATTGTCGTCCTTATTTTCTTGATTATCTCTTTGTTTTGAAAAGTAGGACTTATTAATGTGAAAACTAGAATCTCTATTATCTTAATTGTTTCTCGATCTATCTCTCACTAAGATTCACTTTCCTTAATTTACTCCATCATGATTCCAAAAGTGAAAGAACAAATAGGATTGGAGGGATTACTTTTACTTATAGAGATAACTTTACAAGATTACACATTACTATGTTTTTACTTGCGTATGGTTACAAAAGACATTAAAATAATAAATAAGTGTGAACCGTACAAAAATCAAAATTGGTCAAGTTAAAAAAAATAGAGGAAAGTATGTATCTTATTTATGTTGGACCATCGTTATTCTTGCTATCTTTAGAAATGGTTAAGGTTGACAATATAGTTAAGGTTAAGTCTTCTATATGAACACAAGCTAGTGACTACTATATATACCTGCTTGCAATGGCAATAATTTAATTGCTGACAATAATGTTTGGTATGTTTTGAATTGCTTTTTAAGTAATTAGAAGGAGTATCAGATTATCACTATTTTGTCTATTTACCATAAATATTACTGTCAAAAGATTTTTCTTATATTATTTATCTTGTATATATTCTACATGTTGAAAAGTAAAGAGTTTTGTCTAAGTCAAGTTTTAACAAAATTTCTTATGTGCTGACATGCATGTATGGACTGACATTATATTATTTTCCACTCTAAAAGAAAAAATAAATAAAAAAGAAAAAAAAATGCTAATTACATGAATCTAAATGTCTCTCTATCTTTGGAATAGAATGTTTGTAGCTTTACATCATAGAATTCTATACTAGAATACTCGATACTTCCTCTATTTTTTTTTAAAAAAATTAATTTAAAACATCTGTAATACATGCTAATGCACAATTTTGACCATCAATATCTATTATACTCTATTAATTATTTTAAAAAAAAAAAGTAAATATGCATTATGACTAATTCGATAACATTTTACATAATAAATATCATATTTACATATTATTAAAAATATCTAGTCCCCGTTTTTTTTTTCTTAAAAAAAAATAAAAAAATAAAAAAAATATAGTCAGAGTTATTATCCCAATATGAATAATGCAAAAGTCAAACCAATGCACTTAAAGAATCAGAGGAATTTCCTTCTAATAACAGTTTGCTAATTTTGGTGGGGCAAATTTTATACTCCCTCCATCCCAGAATATTTAGAATGTTGGACTTTTTTCACTATTCATGTATTAGCTTTGACCATAATGTTTTACTAATATGATATAAACATATTATGTTGTTAGAAAGGTATTTATATAAAATTTCATAATATAATTTTTCAAATAATTTTCAATAATATTTAATTATATAAAAATAAAGTCAAACTAGTGCATTGGTATGTGTGTAAAGTTGATTGTGCTAGATATTTTAGAATAGAGGGAGTATTGGTATTAATCCTGTTGTGAGTCATTTGGTTCGAATCCAGCAGATTAGAACAAATAAAAATCAGGATGATATTTTGTTTGCCTCTGAATATATGTTTTATGTGAATGATTTCGAGTACATACATATACATTCCATATTCGGGTCGTTAAGTACATAATTCAAATTGGGCAATCGGAATTGAGTCAGTAATTTTGTAATAATATAATCATATAAACTAGACATTCATTAATTTAATATAAACACAATGCAATTTTGACATTGCTTAACAATAATATCACATACATACATACACCACTACATTAAACATTTGGAGACTCCAGCTACGAAAAAAAACCTGATAACAATAATTAACAGTTTTTTCACCATATACCCCTGAGTTTTTTGTTTATTTATCATATATCCCTGAATTTTTTAAAATTCATCATATACCCCCGAGTTTTTACAAAAATACACCATATACCCTTGATGACTAATGATTGTTAACTTCGTCAGTCATTAGGGTTAATTATGACTCGAAACCACCCTAAATACATTCCCCTACCCCCGAAACCACCTACATTCCTTTTTTCCACCATCAAAACCACCTAAAGTTTCTTTTTTCATCCTCAAAATCAATCACATGGATATAATTATGGAAATTTGGAGTGGTTTCGGGGGTTATAGAAAGGAGAGGAGTGGTTTCGGGGATGGGGGGAGGGAGATCTAAGGTAATTTCGATGTGTAATTAACTAAATTCCACCCATCTAGTTGCCATTAAGGGTATATGGCGAATTTTTATAACAACTCAAGGGTATATAGTGAATTTGAAAAATTTCAAGGGTATATGGTGAATAAACAAAAAACTCAGGGGTATATGGTGAAAAATCCGAATAATCTAATATCATATCATATCACTTCACTGATAAATAAGGTCGGTCTCGCAGCCAGGCCATGAGATAGCGACACTTGACATTTCAGTTTTTCGCTAAGTGTCGAACCACGTAAGTGACAAATAGATATTATTGTGATTAGATTAGATGCCACATTAGATTAGCTTGGATAGATTTGTTTAGAATAAAAATGTACACATAAAATAATTTATAATTCTTTTGAAAAAAGTTTATCTTTTTATTGACAATAGAATTTATTTTACTTATAGCGACACACCACTTATATTATAATTAATATGAATATCCAATTAACAATAAAATTTTACTCCTGTACGAATAATCATGTAATTATAATTATAAATATGGCCATGTATTTCTTCCAAAAAAAAAAATCCATGTATCATTAATTTTTTTTTATCTAACATTTTAAAAAAATATGAATACTCATAATAATAATAATTATTATTATTATTGTTATTATTATAATTATAATTATAATACAAAACATACCCACAAATAAGTAAACTCTCTAAAATTTGAATTCTTATTTTAGCTTATAAATTCAAATAATTGAAAACTAATAAAATACCCCTATTAAATAAAAATAATTAAGAAAATCACTCTAAAATTTACAAAATATTAAAGGGTGTGTTCTATTCATCACCTAATTTTCACTTATCTGAACTTATCTTATCTTATTTGAACTTACCTGAACTTATCTGAAGTTATCATAACTTATTTTGTTGTAATTTGTATTTAGGTAACTCTTATTAGAACTTATCTTTCCTAAACTGAACTTCTAAACTTAATTAAACTTATCTGAACTTATTACACCTGAAATAAGTGAAAATAAGGTGAATAAAACATGCCCTAAATAGTCACCTTAAGATTCATCAATTTTTTATATTGTTAGAAAGTTTGAAAACAAAACACTATAACAATAAAAAAAAAATACGGAGGGGCGGAAACTTTGAACGGTGAAAAAAAAATATACGTATGAGGTATGACGTTATGGGTAGAAACGCTAGTAACCAATTTTTTTTTATTTTTTTATTTTTTAACCAAAACTACATATGTACTCATAATATTGCAGCTTGACTACCGATATTATAACAGTCTTATACTTTATGTAGCGGTTTTTAAGGTTTTTTAATTAGAATTTGCATTAATCAGTGGTGAATTTAACATTTAATATTAGTGAGTTTAATCAACATGAAACAAATTATTTATATGTTAGCAAATTATGTAAATATTGAAATGTGAATATATTCAGCATATGTTTTATCAAAAAAAGGCACCACTCCAATTTTTGTCATCCAAAATATTTGCTATTATTAATAGTGATATTTTTGTAGAAATGTCCATGAAGGTTAATACCTCAGCCGTGTCCTTAATCACGGTAGAACTACTTTCGCCCCCTTAGCACTGATTTTTTTTTAACTCTGCTCACGCTCATCATTTTGCTTTTCGCTTTGGACACTGTAGCATGCAAGATATTTTTATCCAAAAAAATATACTTATATATTTGGTACTGTAGCACACTGTTTGCCCGATCAGTGTTAATCTACTAGTACATGCGCGCTGTGCTTAGAGCCCAAGTTTATAATTTGCTTGTTTCTTTGTTCAAAGCTACTCGGTGTTTATATATATTAGTTTGGTATGCATTATGACTTTTGGTATTTGCTATTTTGTAGTACGTAGATGATTAATGCTTTACTTGAAATATATTATGCAAGTTGGAAATATCGCCTAATACAGATATGTAAATAGATAATCTAATGTGGTTGATCATAATTGGTCTAGCTAATTATTAATATTATTTGCTAAATATATAGCCAAATTCACAAAGCTTTGAGCCTAATCTAACACCTAGAAATTAAAAACTTAAGAATAAGCTAGTTGCATTTTTATTCTTTCAATATGAATAAATAACAAGCTAAGTGACAATCATAAAAATCAATTAAAGATATTAATGTGAATAAAAAACTAAGACAATAATTTCATGCTCTTTTATCAATAGTACTGAAAAAAAATATTTTCTTTGTTTTCCATTGTTATATTCACTTTTTGTTTTCATTCAGTTTTCAAAATTAACTCAATAATCCCTTAGGCCACCTATAATTTATTTCTTTTGTCATTCAATACACGACTTTATGGATCTAATTATCAATGTAACAAAGAGCAAAGTATTTACAAAAGAATACAAAATCTAAAGTAGGTAGTCTCTTTACTCTTAAACCTAATTTGGACTACATGCCAAAGCACATATTCACATTAATGTCACATTTAGTATTTGCCATAATATTGAGGCCCAAATTTTGTTAACGCGACATGTAGGATTATACATTTTAGTTATAGCTAATTAAATAAGAGATTTGTAATTTTTTTAAGAATTAAGTAATTCAAATGTCAGTAAGCAAAATTGGCGAATGAGATTTTAGTTTTAACTAATTAAATATAAAATATTATCTTTTGAGATTAGGAATTTTATCTATATATTTAACGAATGAAAGGAAATTTACAATATATATATATATGTATATATATATATATATATGTATATATATATATGTATATATATATATATGTATATATATATATATATATGTATATATATAAAGGTGAGTTTATTCCCAAGATTTTAGAGCGTCACGTAGGATTTTAATTTTAAAAAAATTATTAGAGCGCCACATAAAATTACTATGTTTTAAAACGCAACAATAAGATTATGCCACGTAAGATAATTTTTTTTAAAGCGCTACGTAGGATTTTAATAAACAAGCGCCACGTAGGATTAATATTTTAAAACGCTACAATACGATTATGCCACGTAAGACAAGTTTTTTACTTTTTTTAAAATGCTATGTAGGATTATAATAATAAATTAAAAAATTATCAGTGCGACATATAAGATTATTATATTTAAAAAATTATAATAATAAAATCAACACATTTTTCGTGTGGCTAATCATATCGTGTGGCCGGCTGAGATATACCAAAACACTGACCGGGTAACCTCTCACTGTCCGAGTAACCCCTGATCGATCGAGTAACCTTTGACCAACCGAGTAACCCATGACCAAGTAATCCTGACCACACGATGTGACCAACCACATATGAAACTTTGTGAAATAAAATAAAAAACTCAAGTATTAAGCAAACGAATATCAGAAAGTTTAGGAGATAAATATATATTTAGTAGAATATTTTATTTAAAAAAATACAAACAAACTGTGCATCGCACGGGCTTCATCTAGATTAATTTTTTTTAAATAAAAATATTTAATGATATACTACGTACAACGTATAAAATAACAAATTTTATCACATAAATACAAAAAATATTTGAATTTAAAAATACAAATAAACCGTGCATCGTACGAGCTCCATCTAATATTATAATATTATAATAGATTGATGGTACATCAGTGATATTTTTGTGTAGAATTATAAGTTGATGTATATTTCTTTTAAGTGGCATATGTTTTTGAGAATAATACTGAATTCCTACAGTTTTAAAAAGTTGAACTAACTCTTATTATTAGTATTTGAACAATTACACTCTCTAAAAATGTTTAATTTATTCACTTTTCTACCCTCATTGATTTTTATTATCTATTGTTTTTTTTTTTGAAATTTTAAGAATAGTATGTAGACATTTATATCTCTTAAAATATTTTATTTATATATAGTTTCATCAAGTATACTATCAACAACTAAAGTTATGACATACGGTAAAATTGAAAGAGCTCTCCAAATATGATTAGCTATATCCGTCCTCATATGTCTAAAATTTCCAATCGACTGGAAAATATAAAAATTACAAAATAAAAATTACATAGAGATTACACATTAAAAGTCCAAAAGTGACCTCCAAATAAAAGTAAGTACAATCAACTACTTCCAAGGACAAGTTTGCATATGCCCTTTATAGCCAAATAAGTACCAAATATTAATCTCAAAATTCTTATTGAACCAAGAAATCTTATTTAATTAGCATTAAACTACACATTCAAGAAAATCCATAAACAAGCTTTAGTATATGGATTGTCATGTATTTGGTCCATTTGGACACTTCGTGATTCATTTTGTTGATTTAAGCGGAACTAATAGTGGGTGGTTGGCTCTATTTTCCTAACTAACATTATCCCAAAATCAACGTTCACATATTTAGCTTAGATTTTATGTGGATGACGTATATATAATTAACTTGAAGTGCCCCATAAGATTATATACTTGTATAATTGTGGAATTATCAGTCTTCTACAAAAACTAACTCAATCAAATGTTTAAGATTTAGTCAAAAATAAATTGTTCGCATCGTATTAGTATAAGTCGTATATGATCAATAAAAATATTTTTAGATTTGTCTTAATGTGCAGTTTTATAATATTATAAATTTATATATATACTACCTCCGTTAATTATTATGTGTAACTTTTGGGTATTACTATGGATTCCAACGCGGGCGATGCGCACGGTATGGTTAGCCCTTCAAGAAAAATTATTACCGATGAGTCGATGGCCTTTAAGCCCTATGCATTTTGTTTTATTACAACTATTTGCATATAGACAATAAATGTGTTGGATGTTGTGGGATGTGCAAGGTTCGAAATATTAGTAGAGCTAATTTGATTTAGCGAGGGAAAGGTAAAAAAATATCGAGTTCTAAAAATATAAATTTCTAATAAATTTAAGTACTTATTGAGACAAATTGAATAAACTAAACAAGACATCACACAATTATTGTAATTCTTGTACTCCTTGTATATTAAAATTAATTTAGAATACTTTGTACTCCTTCGTCCCTAAAATAACGACCCTTTTGGGCATTTTTCACGGGTATTAAGAAACTTAAGTGGGAAGTACAAGTGTATGGGGAAACTAATAAAAGTACATGGAAAAGGTAAATTTACATAGAATTTGTAAAAAAAGTAGAAATAGAAAGTAATAAAAGTACATAGAAAAAACAAAATTTACATTGAGAAGCTAATTTTTCACAAATATTATTGCAGATTGGAGGGTATTTAATGCAAATGGGATGAACATTTTGGGACTAAAATTTGGCCAAATTCCATATAAGAAAAAAAATAATAAAAATGGAGAGAGTAAAAGATGGTTTTTTATATTGAAATAAACACAACTTTTTAATTTACAAATAGTTTATCAATTTAAAGGATTTAATAGACCATTTTAAGACTTTAATTTCGAAATCAAATGGAAGCAAATAAGTAAAAGAACATTTTTAGGGATATAAATGTCCATGCACTATTAATAAGAGTTTTGTTAAATTTTTTTATAAAATAGAGATTTATGAGATATAAAATATTCCAAGGTGACACGTAATAATTAACGGAGGCAATACTTAATTTTAAATCTTTGTTGACGACTTAAAGTACGTTTTATAAATCTTGCAAATAAAAATACCTGACACTATATTATGAGACAGAGGTAGCAGTACAAAAGACAATAATGACAAGTTAGCTACCCAACTACAAAGACTAGAAAGTAGATGAGGGTTAAAGATAGATTATGGTTCTCTTGTCAGAAGGTTAGTGATAACTATTATGACCATTGACAAGATACCCTTGCTTTCTGTCGGATATCATTGAGGTGAAGTATAACAATAAGATAGGGACTTTAACTATACTAATTCTTTATGTTATTGCTTCTTATCATGGTTTTATACAGGAATAAAACACTTTGATTTATATCTGAATGCTTAAGGTTTAGCTAGTCAAGCGCAGGATGAGTAATAAGTATAAGGTACAGCATATACTTCATCTTTTTTTTTTTTTTTTTTTTTTTTTTTTTTTTTTTTTAATTTTTTTTATGTGCTCCAATTGGACTTTTGCACAATTCATGTACAACCACTTTGACTAATGTTTTATGCTTTATACTTCCTCCGTTTTTAATTATTTGCAACAAAGGACAACTTCACGCATGCCTAGGCAAAACTTTAAGAGGTGTTTAGTTGAATAAAAGTAGGTAATGGGGTATGTAATTAAAGAGTTAAAAAAGGAGGGAAAAAATCTGATTTTTTTAAAGAAAGAGAAAGTGGTCCAACTTTTTAAAAAAAGGTGGACCCTTTATCAAATTTTTGAACCACTTTTTTTCCCTCTAATATTTTGTCAACCAAATTTAAAAAAAAAAACAGCCAACCCCAAATTTTTCAATTCATCATTTCCCACGAAATTTTTCCCACCCTTTTCCAAAAGATAGCTTTTCATCCAAATTTTCCCCCCCTTTGAAATTTTCATTTAAGGGGGGTATATAAACAACCTGCCCAACAGTGTACAAGCAAAAAAACAGAGTTTCCCACAAATTACAGACCATACTTGTTCCTTCCAAAAGATTACATAATTAGTAATGACTAAAACCTAAATTAGTCCTAAGTTAATTGCAGCATCAACTCCATAATTCTGGTTCAGCAACAGCACAACAATCAAAAAATAGCCCCCCCCGCCACTTCATTACCAGGCCTGAAATCTGGGGAACTCAACATCATCAGCATAAATATCATGGCAGGCAGTGAAGATGATGATTTTTTCAGCATAGAACAAATGCTTAATGATGAAAACAGAATGGGACACAGTGAAGCAAACAATATGCAAGGGACTGCAGAACATCAGACTGATGGTGGCATGCATCAACAGAAAAGCAGAAAACAGCTCACTGTTCCACAGAAAAGGGAACTAGTAGATGGTTATTTGTTGAAGCTAGGGGGGGGGACCTCTGCCAAGAGGATATATAACACAGCAAGCCAACAAATTTAATGTTCATAGATCCACAATTCAGAGACTCTTTGAGGACATTAAATCCCAGATGGCAAAGGGGAATTTGATAGATATCAGAAGTAAGAAGCTGGGGAAAACAGGACCAAAACCAAAGGTCTACACAGATGAGTTCCTGCAATCAGTTCCCTTGTATAAGAGGACCAATGAGAGAAGCTATGCAGCAGCTCTGAAGATACCACATGTCACAATACACAAACTGAAGAAGAAAGGCAGACTCAGAACACATACAACCACAAAACCATCCATATCTGACAGACAATCACAAGGTAGCAAGATTGAAATGGGTGCTAAGTCATCTAATGCCTGCTGAAGTAAATGGGGACCCAAAGTTTATGGACATGCAACAAGTTGTCCATATTGATGAAAAATGGTTCTACTTGAACCCAGAAACCAGGAGGTTCTACCTCCTTCCAAATGAAGCAAACCCATACATGTGCCAACAGTCCAAAAGGTTTAAAGTCAAGGGCATGTTCATGGCAGCCATTGGGAAGCCTATTTTTAACCAACAAGGAGAAGTCAGACATGATGGAAAGTATGGTATTTATCCATTTGTGTATGAAAGCACAGCAAAGAAAAAAAGCAAAAACAGGGAAGCTGGTGTGGTGGAAATCAAAGCTACACAAAATGTCAACAAAGAAGCCATAAGGGCAATGCTATTGAACCATGTAATTCCAGGCATCAAAGCTAAATGGCCTTCCAATCTACCCAAGGACATATGGATACAATGGGATAATGCCAGACCCCATCAAGTTCCTATGGTTGAGGAATTTCAGGCAGCCTGTCAGTCAGATGGATTCAACATTGAATTCATATACCAGCCCCCTCAGTCCCCAGATTTAAATGTGCTAGATCTAGGGCTGTTCAGTGTGATACAATCACTACAATACCAATCATTCTCAAAGAATTTAGTGGAACTCATAGATAGGGTTAAAGAAGCATATGAGTTGTTCAACCCAGTGTTGAACAAATATTGTTGGATAACCCTACAATGCTGCATGGAAGAAATACTCAATCACCTAGGGGGGAATAACTTCACCCCACCACAGAAAGGGAAGAAGAGGCTAGAAAGGATTGGGATGCTACCAGAAATTTTAGAGGTGGACAGGAGGGTGGTTCAACAAGCTGTTGACTACCTCAACACCATTTTCATATCAACTGATCAAGCAAATGAAGAAGATGAAGGGATGCAAGTTGATGCAGACTAAACACAGCAATTGACACATGTAGAAGTTTTAGTAAGACTGCCACACATAACCAATGGAAGTAAATGAAGCAACAAGAATCATTGTATGTAATGGTTTCTGTTTATTTTTTTTTTCATTACTGTAGGTTAATCATTGGTTATGTGTATTTTGTTGTAAGTCAGGCACATGCATATTGTATGGTAGTCTAAGCTAGCTTGTTTTGGATATTGTAAAATCTTTTGGGGAAATTAATGATTAACATTATGGAAGATTTATAACCAACTAGGGACACAAACTAAGCATCATAATACAAAACAGGGAAACAAATAAATCCATCAGAGGGTTTTTATTTTTTTCACAAAAATTACATAATTGGTTCCCTCAACAACAATTGTTATTTCAAGTTGTTGGAGCTAATCCAAGTTATGAATTGGTTGTATCAAATGAGTCCCTTCATCATATGGATTTCCCAACCACAATACACAAAAAAAAAAATCAAGGGACTCATTCACTGGCTAAGGGACAACTTGCTGTTTAGGGGACTCAAAAAGGTTACTCACAATTCACCAAATCACTACTAAATCAACTCAGGCAACCAACAACTCTGAACTCCAATGGCATAAGAATCCCTTATTAGTCCAGCCTCCAAGTTAAACCGAATGAACTCAGACAAAGAATTCAACACAACACAGATCATGATTATCTTAAACAACTTCTCAACCCTCCAACAGGCTACAATAATTGTGAAGAACTATGCACACAACAAGCATAACACAAGTAGGGCAACCAACATAATGGTGAGGCAACTAATCACAGGGCATTTGAGCCTTCCAAACATACACAACACATCCTAAGAATTAGGCAACTATGAATCTGCAAAGCTATTAGCAAACCCAACGCAGCATAACTCAAACTAATAATCACAGAACCAGCAACTTTTGCAACAATTAGAACCAGCAAATGCCAATACACCAGCAACAATACACTAGACAAACTGAAGCAATAATTACATCCAGCAAATGCCAATACACCAGCAACAATACACCAGACAAACTATTGCAACAATTAGAACCAGCAAATGCCAATACAACAGCAACAATACACCAGACAAACCATTGCAACAATTAGAACCAGCAAATGCCAATACACCAGACAAACCCAGGAAAGGCCAACAACAATCAAAATAAGGCAATAAAACACAAATCAGTACAACCACTCCACATTATTAGCCAATTACAGTCCACAATAACATGCACCACACATGAATAGATCCATTCAAGCCATTTCAACCATGTAACATCAAGTCAGGAAAAAAACCTTAAACCCTAGAATAATTGAAAGAGTAAAAGAACAAGAAAACGAAGAACCAATTAAATCGAGGGTAAGAAATGAGTTACGCTGCTAGATTAGTAGGAGACTCAAGCTACGGCGCACAGCTTTCAGCGCTCTCAGCAGGAAGGGACTCAGATCTCTGCCTTTTTTTTGCCAGAAGCGACATCCTTTGCCCTAGAACCAACATCAGCCCAGAAAATAGTCGCTCCCTCTTCAACGGCTTTAGGAGGCGAAACGGCAGGAACAGGGGGTTCATCATCATCGCTGTCCAGAATGATGACTTCCGGAACAGTTTTGGTACAACCCTCACCGGCCTTAACCAGATCTGGCCACTCCACAACACGAGGCTCATCATCAGACTCACATGGGGTCAGTTTCGCACCCCCCCTGTCCTTCGCTTCATATCCAAGTACATCGCAGTACGAGTTCCAAACAAACGCATCTTCCCACTGCGTTTGTCACACTTATAGGTAGCAATGACGCCGGAATCGGGGTTTTTTTTTGTCTGAGGAACTCATTTTCTGGGTTTAAAGTTGAAGAAGGAGAATCGCAAAGTTTAGGGTTTCAATTTGAAGAGAGAGAAACACAAACGGGCATTGGTTTGGGAGAAGGCAGAATGTTTGAAAAAGAATAAACGGAGGATAGTAAACGTTGGAAGATGTAACAGAGCTTCATTAATGGCGACGGTTGAGAGCTGCATTGATGATGGTAGGTGAGGAGGTGAGGAGAGAGAAATAATTAGGGTTCCTCTTTGTTGATGAAAAAAGGGGGAGGGGATTCTGATTTTTGGTGGGAAGGATTAGGTTAGGATGTTAGATTATGGAGTTTATTAATCATAGTTAAGTTTTAGGTTAGTTTCTAATCAGTTTTTTAAGGGTAATTTCGGAATTTTACACACCCCAAACTTACTATAAAAGGAAAAAAAAACTTGTTGCAAATAATATGGAGCGCCCACTTTTAGTAATTGTTGCAGATAATAAAAAACGGAGGAAGTACATAAAATCAAACATAGTTATAAAAGTATTTGTTAGAATCGCTTCAATATATTGTATTCACATGTCAAATTTTATAATCTTTATTTATTACTAATTAAAGATAATTTGTCTAAGTAATACTTTGACAAATATGCCGATCAAAGGGAGGCACTTAAATAAAAAGTTTAAAGCAGAGGGAGTATTAACTTATACTCGTAAGAAATATGTGTAGTATTACTCATGGTTCTAGATTAATATTTATGGAAGTAGTAGCTTAGTTATGGTTTTTGTTTATTAGTTGTGATTATCAGGTAATTAATTATGCATATTTGGTTATCACTTATGGTTTTCAAGTACTCTTTTTTTCCTTTTTATTCTTTACATTTGGCATTATGCATAGTGACTAAAAAAATTTAAAGTAAGATTATTTATTTATTATTATTATTATTATTAGGAAATTTTGACTTTTGCTACCACAAAAAACCTTGAGTTTCATTTTTGCTACCCCTTAAATTTTTCTTTTTATTTTACTACCTAAAAACACCTTTGTCAAAATTCGCTACCAGTTGACGGAAGCTGTTAGTTGTGCCGTTTGTGGGCCCCACTTCACCCCTGCCCCTCTCTCTCCTCCTTCCCCCCACCAATCCCCTTCCCCTACCTGTCTCTCCTCCTTCCCCCACCAATCCCCTTCCCCTACCTGTCTCTCCTCCTTCCCCAGCCACCAATCCCCTTCCCCTGCAACTCCCCCTCCACCCCCTAGCCACCTGTCCCGCATCTCCCCTTCCCCACCAATCCCCTTCCCCTTCCCCTGCCACTCCCCCTCCACCCCCTAGCCACCTGTCGCGCATCTCCCCTTCCCCTGTTGTCTTCATCGCACACAGGAAGATTCGAGTGTGGGGTAGTTGGGGTTTCGAGGGGGTCGCCGGAGATCGAAAAGGTTTAGGGTTAGGGTGGCCGAAAAGGGTAGGGGAAGGGAAGGGGGGTCGATTCCGGTGGGGGAATGGGGAGAGGGGCCGATTCCGGTGGGGGGAATGGCGAGGGGGGTGGTTTCCGGTTCAGGGTGGGGGTCGGGGCAGCAAGAGGGGGAAAAGCAAGGGGGGTGGCTGCGTAGCTGGGGGAAAGGGATTGGGGGGTGGCTGCGTAGGTGGGGGTCGCCGGGGTTGGTGGGGGAAAGGGATTGGGGTGGGGTCGCCGGCGTTGGCCCTAGTTTGGCCGTCGGTCGCCGGCAGGGGGGAGGGGGGGAGGTGGCTGACGGGAGGGGGGGCAATTAAGGGTGGTTGGTTTTTTTTTTTTTTAATACATTTTAATTTATTTTTTTTTGAATAAACTTAACGGAATCTTGAATAAACTTAACGGAATCTTAACGGATTCTGTTAAGTGGTAGCAAATTTTGACAAAGGTGTTTTTAGGTGGTAGTAAAATAAAAAAAAAAATTTAAGGGGTAGCAAAAATGAAACTCAAGGTTTTTTATGGTAGCAAAAGTCAAAATTTCCTTATTATTATTATTATTATTATTATTATTATTATTATTATTATTATTATTATTATTATTATTATTATTATTATTATTATTATTATTATTATTATTATTATTATTATATCTCAAAAACAGACAAAGTCATACAACCAACAATAAATTAGTGGGAAGCCGAGATACAATCTGGGCCCCCACTCCTCTAGCTATAGCAAAGCCTACCCTAATGAAGATATGAGCTGCAGCACGAGCCACAATGTCTTGCGTCGTTGAGAACCTCTGAACCCATTTTAGCAACACAACAACCTCCTTCTCTAATTTCCCAAGCGAAGAAAAGGAGAAGGGAATGAAACCATATCCAATCAGCCGACAACTAGCTTCATACTTCACCCGCTTCCGATGAGCCGCATCAGCCACAACCCGTCCAGGAACAAAGTCAGATAGTCCTGTCTGTGTCAAAGGAGAAGACCTTGTTAAATCCACACAAACATCGCGACAACGATCCCAGGAATAAAGTAACACATCAGCAGGTCTGAGGGCCCCGTCATTCCCTCTAGACAACCCTATGTCAACTTCTTTTCTTGCTGAAATCCCAAATCCGTAGCAGATATCAACAAGGGTATCCCGGACAATATTATGCCGATGTTTAATACCCACAATACCAGCACACGACACCGCGTGATCACCGAAAATATCCCCAGTAAAAACCCGAGAACAAGCAGAGCACGACATCGAGATAGAGAACAATGGAACACCCATCCTAGCACAACACACATCGGTAGGTCTTTGCGTTCATCGTCTGACCCAACCCAGAAATAGGGACTGCCTGAAGCAACAGAGGTGTAATCTCCCTGCTGCGATTTCCACAATGCTGATTGTCGAGGAGACAAAGAATAGGCGGATTATGCAGAAGCGGTAACCTTTGTGAAATATATATCTGCCAATTTCTTCATGAGTTTAGGGGCAGCGACCTCACTAGGATTACTCATAACGTCAGACTCCACTATTCCATTAAACAGACTCAACGCATCTTCAAAGGCTCGTCCAAGACCAACAATGCCAGCATGTCGTAAATTATTATTATTATTATTATTATTATTATTATTATTGTTATTGTTATTATTATTATTATTATTATTATTATTATTATTATTATTATTATTATTATTATCTGTAAATGAAAAATGATAGTTACTACTTTTACGTTTACTATAAATGGAGCCTTGAAAATAATGCAACAA